GGGGGGTGACAACTTGCCAACTGCACTATGTCACCACACCCCTCTAATTGAGGTTTATTAATAAAATACTTTAAAATAAATATCATAAATAATTAAATATTAAACGAAAACAAACCAAACAAAAACTAGAAAAGAAAAAAACCAAAAACTACTCAAATCAAAATCAAATTTTTTAAAATGTGCTGGACCTGTGGTGAATGGTGTTGGCTCGGTATTCCTCATAGACGTAGAGGCGGAGGTGGTGGTGGAAGACGTGATGGTGAAGGATGGAGACGTCCAAATGTAGTTCATCATACTAATGTTGTTTATCAAACAAATACTGTTTATCAAACAATTGATAATACAGATTATAAAAAAATTCATGAATTGGAAAATTAGTTATCTGAAATGATAAAAAATAGAGACGATTGGAAAAAACAATCTGAAGAATGGAAAGCAAGTTCTGAAAAATGGGAAAAACATGCTAATGAGATAGAAGAACAATTAAAAGAATGCGAAAAACATAAAAAAGAAGTAGAAAATAAAATTAACAAAATTATAACAACTCATCTCAACATAAATATAACTGAAGCTGAAAAATTAACTACTATTGGAAAATTAGATACAATCCTAAACACCATAAAACAAGAAGTAAAAGAATGTTTAAGATTGCTTGGAATCCCTTTTCAAACCGGTGATAGTTTGATGTCTATGCTTAAAAAATTAGTAAAAGCTTGTAAAGAAATTGAAATAACCGGTCCTGTTCAAGAGATGTTATTAAGATGTCTAAAAATGTTGGATCCTAAAACTAAAATAAATGATCCTAAATCGTTTAATAGAAAATTAGGATATGGAAGTATAGATGCTTTGGTGAAAGCTTGTTATGAAAACAGTAGAGATATTTTAAACAAAGAATGATTTGAAAATAAACCTGAGATTAGTTTTGTAAGAAAATTAATGAGATGTCATTACTACATGGTTGGGAAAAGCAACTCATTGAGTGTGAAAATGATGGCCGATAATTTATTTAAAGTAACTAATCTAGAAAATGAAAAAATATTTAATAGAAAAATATTATTAAAAAAGAATATGACTCGTTTTCTACTTTTAATAACTATATTAATGTATTATTAAAAGACGCAGGTTACAATAGGTGGAGTAACCCTAAATATGATGAGACTTTTCTTTACAAATTACACTATTGTTATTGGCTTTTAAACGATGATTCAAAAGAACAAGGTATAGATGATATGAGTGTTGACGATTTATTTGAACCAATTTACCTTACTTATTTTCGGAATAGACGAAATGGAATGCCAGATAATTTTTTTTTTTTTTAGTTTTATTCATTTCTTTTGTTTTAATTATATTTATCATTTAGATTATCAAGGAAAATATACAACTCCCGAAGAAATTCAAAGAATTGTTTTATTAAAGAATAAAAAAATAAATATTTTCAATTAGTTTATATTAGTTATAGTATTTTATACATACAATTTATTTATATTATTACTTTAAACATATTTTTATAAATAAACAATTTATTCAATTATTTTCCAACAAAATGTCTGAAAATATTGAAAATATTTGTCCAAAAATTCTCCAAATCCTGAGTAGTTCAGGAGAACTCAACAGAATACAAGGAATTATTAATACTCTAAGTGCTGATAAGAAAAAACTACAAGATGAAATAGAACTTTTAAAATCGAACAATCCTCTGTTAGAACAAGAAAACCAAGACTTAAAAAATACAAACAATACCTTAAAAAATGAAAATGATAATCTAAAAACAACAAACGAAGGATTAAAAAAAGAAAATGAAGAATTAAAAAATGAAATTAAATCGCTTACCGATAAAATCCATGATCTAGAAGAAGAAAATAAAAAAATTAAAGCAGAAAATGAAGAAAATACAAAAGAAAATCTGAGTTACGAAGAAACTTTAAAAACCCTTAACTCAAATATTAATACTACTATAAGTATGTTTAACGTAAAATTAAATATTAATGATCCAATTAAAAAAAGAATGGAACAAATCGTAAATTTAGTAAAAGCGATGACAACCATTTCCGAATAATAATCACATATTTGTCAAACTATAAAATTATAGTTTTAATTTATATTATAAAATAATATTTAATTATCTGTATAAATTTACAATAAAGTTTTTTTTTATATTATAAATTTGTAACTCCGAAAATAATTTATTTAGTAATTGGTTAAACAACTCCGAAACTCCGATAATTTATTTAGTAATTGATTAAAACAATTCCGAAACTCTGAAATCTATTTTGATAAACTATATTTAGTAATTAATTTGCAAATTCCGAAACTCCGATAAATTTAAATAATTTGTAATACCAAATATTAAAATAATGATCATCAATACAAATACCTGCGAATTCTGTTTTTTTTTTAATTTTACGCTTTAATTTCTTGAGAGTAGGGCCTCTTCTTCGAAAGTTTAGTTCATAAAATAAAAATCACAAAGTTCGAGTGGTTCTTTTTTAGAAATGCATAAATTTCTCCTTGAAATAAAGTTAAATTTTGTTATATTATTTTTTTTTTTTACTAACTATTAATTTTTTTTACGTTTTGTTTTTGTGGTCGTCATATGAAAGATGGTTTAAACTGCATTTATGTTTCTTGTAAAAAGAGATATCATATCAGAAGGTGAGAATCCTTCGTCCTTCACTTAGAAATATGACAGAAATCCACCGATCGTTAAGAGCTTCACCAATCCTTGTTGTGTAGTTGCAGTTTATGATGTATTCTCTTAGAATCGATTTTCCTGTTGTTTCTTTTGTTTGAAGAGAATATTAAAATGTAAATCACATAGCCTTTATATGGACATATGTGGTTATTAGCTTGATC